GTCATTTGCTCATAATTTATCATTCTCGGTGTCATAGTCTGCTATTGTTTCTTGTCCCAGTGTGCTTTCGTCGCTGTCATCTCCTCCACTACCTCACTGACAAGTGTGTTGTTAGAGAGTTCGTTTATCAATGCGTGGTAGAAGTGTATCAGTGCGCCCCTTCTCAACGGGCCTGTTGTTTTCTCTTCCCCGAGCTGTAAGCTTCACAATAAAGAAAGTTCGCTTTTTCCTGTAGCGTTTGAAGAACTGTAGCCAACGCTGGACGTCTTCGTGCTTTCGATAACTCATCTGTTAGTGAAATGCGCGTTTCGGAAGATAATTCTGTTTATTCACTAAGTGCATTTTGTTCACATGGAGGGAGAGTTGCTCTCGCGCCCTCGAGGCTTCGCTTGGAATCCGCGGATTCTGAGAAATCTAGCCGAAATCAGCTTGGTGGGTGGTCTTATCAGCCGGTGGTTGCAACTATAACATTTGTCGATTACTGTCACTGTAGGTACATTCAATGCTTAGACTGCAGACAACATGATGGGAGGAGACTGGGCCGGAGAGAGGGGGAGGAGTGGTGGTTATCCATTCTGTACGCCCAGGTGACTTTCTGAGCAGGCACGGTCTTCGTCCGGGAATGCCTGGAGTCACTTGGCTTATGCTTTTTCCACTTCGCCCTCTGTGTTTGCCATTCTCAAACGTCTAGAATTTGTGAATCCTTTACATAAGAAGTAAGGGAACCGCTCCCAAATTGTATTCTGTTTAGGTCCGGACTTTCCCGAACAGTGCTTGAGTGTAGAGTGTTCGGGCCTAGGCATCCGTAGATCATGTAGTCTTATTGGATGTGTTATTCAGAGCTGGCCATGCAAATCGATGGCTGCTTAATTGGGATGGGGATCGAAGAGGGAGAAAAAATACGTGTGGCACGAGAAAAAGTGAAGGGTTAGGTTGGAGGGTGTTTGCTAAGCAAGATGAATTGTGTATTTGCATCGAGGGGCGAATAAATGAAACGGGAAATCATAAAACTGATTTAAGCAAATTAGGGGTGGGAATGGGGCCAGGTGTTATTTTGATGTGAGGTGACGGAGGGGAAGGAGCAAGGAGACAACTGGCACTGAGAGAATTAATTAAAGAGAAGAAACTATGATATGTCTTATTACTGGGATCGCTGTAATGACTTTTATTTTTTGAAGTCTTTTAGGGGTCCCGAGTTCGTTTGGGATTTCAGTGGTCGCATGAATGTACAGCTAAACTCTGGCATACTTTATTTTACGAGTGCTGGTGAGCTGGGAGGTTAGACGATGAAGAAGCTCGGCGTTGTCTGCTTGTAGAGGAACGAAGGACGAGAGCAGGAAAACGAACGCTTCGGTGGCAAGTTGCGGAGTGACAGCTGAGGTAGCTCCGGTAAATCTGTCGCTGAAGGGCTGTCAGTTGCGCTGATAACGCGGACGTGGGTTGGGCTAGAACGTCGACGAACAGAACTGCGCAAGTAAGTGGGGAACATCGGGATAGTGGCTTGAGCAGCGCTTTAAACGGTTTTCTTGCTTGTTTTAAAAGTTAATTATTCAGAGCGCGAACCGGGTGCAGTATGGACGTCTCAAAGATGCAGTCGGTCTCTCTGGAGATCATGCTGGATAGCGATGCATGTGAGGCTCCTGCTGGCCCAAGCAAATGCAAGGTTTTTCAGTCACTGCTCTTGCAGATAGATACATTCTGGAATTCCAAGTCTACAGTTTTTGTGTGGTGATTTCATTTTATTCACACTTAA